CGGGCGGCGGGCGCCAGGGCGGGGCCCGGGCCCGCGGCGCGGCAGCAGCACTGCACGCAGGTGCGCAGCCGGCGGCTCATGAAGGAGCTGCAGGACATCGCGCGCCTGAGCGACCGCTTCATCTCCGTGGAGCTGGTGGACGAGAGCCTCTTCGACTGGAACGTGAAGCTGCACCAGGTGGACAAGGACTCGGTGCTGTGGCAGGACATGAAGGAGACCAACACCGAGTTCATCCTGCTCAACCTCACCTTCCCCGACAACTTCCCCTTCTCGCCGCCCTTCATGCGGGTGCTCAGCCCGCGCCTGGAGAACGGCTACGTGCTGGACGGCGGCGCCATCTGCATGGAGCTGCTCACGCCGCGCGGCTGGTCCAGCGCCTACACTGTGGAGGCCGTCATGCGCCAGTTCGCCGCCAGCCTGGTCAAGGGCCAGGTAAGGGGCCGCGCGCACCTGCCGGGTGGAGGGGCCAGCCGGCCGGCCGCCTTCTCGCCCGGGCTCGGTTCGGGTGGGCTCGGGCTCAGAGCTCCGGCCCGACCTGGAGCCTGGCGCCTGCTTCTGAGCCCTATGGCTTCTCTGTCTGCTCCCTCGCTTTCTCTCTCCCCCCTCCTCCACTTTTCCCTTCCCTTTCTCTCCTCTCCCCATATTCGCTCCCCTTGCTCCTCTGTTCCTTTCCTTTCTCCACCCCTTGAGTGTCCTCCACTCCCCTGTCCCTCTCCCCCTCTACCTCTGCATTCTCAGTCCTCCTCCTGGCCCTGCGGTCTCTGAGGGTGGGAACTTTTTGTGTGCATCAGGGTCTAAGCGTCCACCCTAGTGTCTCTCTCTCTCTCTCACACAGAGGTTTCCTCTGCAGACCTCTCGGAGCCAGCTGCCTGCTCTGAGCTCTCTCCCGTGCCTCCTTCTTCTGTGAGGTGAAAATTGTGCTCCAGAAACCGCTCCCGAGAGGCCTGGGTGTGGGTCGAGCCCTTCCTTAGGGGGCAGGGCTGGACTCCGCCCGCCCGGGCACTGCGTTCTCCCGGAGGGCTTCCCCTCCGGCCTGGTACCTGTCCCCTCCTGGGCTGTCACCTTTGGGCTAGACCCCGGGGGCTGGTCTCCTCCTTGTTTCCTTGTCCCTGGGGCAGGGGCATTTATCTGGGCGGGGCAGGTCGCTGCGGCTTCTCACCTACCGCCCCAGGGAGCAGCTTTAGGGAAAGAAACCCGAGTCTGAGTTCGAGCGCGAATGAATGAATTCTCTGAGATGTGGTCTCCTGGCTGCAGCCTGGGGCGCGACGGTTTTGTCTTCCCGTGTGTTCCTGACCGAGTTCCGCTTCTGTGGTGTTCTCCTGAATCAGCATCAAACCTTACTTACTGAGGCTATATTTCTGCACAGGTGCCTTTAAGATTTGTGGAAAATGCTTATTTCCTTGAAAAGCCCTGGAATGACCGACCTCCTTTTGGTCTTTCTGCAGCCGGCTTCTCAGAAGCGATCGGTTCCTCCTGCCTGCCTCTGTCCCTTTCAGTGCAGGCTGCTTCACGCTCATCAAATGGTGCTGGTTCTGCCCATTGCAGGAGAACTGGAGCCCCTGGGACTCCAGACAAATAGCCTCCTCGCACCAGCAGAGAAGGTGACCTAAGTCTTGAGCCGTCCCGCGCGTCCCTCTTTTCTGGGGTTCGGGTCGTGCCTGTTTTTTGAGTCAGCCAGCGGTAGGGTGTATGGGACTGCCCTGGGAAGACACCTTCAGCAGGCAAGGCTGTAATGACAGACGTTCCTTCCTCACCCGCCCCAGCACTGGCTTTAGTGCGTGCTGTGTGGGCTTCTTCGGTACAGGCTGGGGGTGCTCAGTCTAATTTTTCAAGCAGGACTTATTTAGCTCTTGTGGAGGAATATGCCCCCAAAATGCTGAGGTTATCTGTTTCTTACATTGTTGCTGATGAGTACTCTTTGGAGCAGACCTTTGCTGTCTTCCATTCTTCACAGCAAAGATGACTTCGGGGTCGAGGAGGAGGAGCAATGTCACTTTGTCTTCTAGAGTCTCAGAATCATAGCATTTTAGACTTGGGCCAGATCTTAGACTATGTCGTTGATTCTAGAAGACTTGGGGAAATAAATGAGAAATGAAATTGTTTTTAAAAAAGAGACGTGTTTTAGTAAATTAAATATCTTTCTATTTTTACGTGAATGTCACGAATAATAACAGTCCCTTTTGGTACCTGCATACTTCTATTAAAATGGACAGGTCTTGGTGTGTATATTCCAAAATCAAAACCTGTGCATTCATTTTGCAAGTTAGATGCTTCAGTACTGAAAACAATTATCAACACTTAAAAATCTTAATTGGACCCAGTTCCTTCCTACGAAGGAGTATTCCCATGAAATATCTGAAATAATGGCAAAAACTCAGCACTTTGTTTAAAATACCAGTTCAGTTTGTTTGTATCGCCTGTACTGGTTTTCACACAGAGTTCTCTGAAAGAGCATGGTGTATGACACACATGAAATATTCAAAATGCAGGGAAAGAATTGAAGAGATGAACAGTCATTAATGTTTCAGGCTTCTGTGCCCAGGAGGACCTGGTGGTGTTTCAGGTAACTTGAGCATTATTCTGCCTTTTCGTCCTTTGGCGAATTCATGACCCCCAGGTTCCTTAGCACCCACAAAGTAGTTACCAAGTGATTTCCACAATTCAAGGTAATGTGCTTTGGAAAAGCAATCAAAATACCTGATTAGATATTCAAAGGAACCAGGAACTGCCAGGCCAATAATGACTTTAAAAGAGAGTTGTTAGATTCCAGTCATGTGACTCTGTTCTTGGGATTTCTTTTTTGAAATTCATTTCTTAAGCTATAAAGTTCACAAAGGTTTGTTTGCCTCTTTCACAGAGAACCACACTCTGTGCTGGACTCAACTTCCTGAGTGGAAGAGGTACCTTTCTGTACCTTTAGAGAAGCCTCAGAACAGTTCTAATCATTCCATGTGTAATGTTATAAAATACCTGCTTAACAGCTTTGTACACAAAATAAGTAGTTGAAGATTATCACATGGTATGAAAAATCTAGTCACCTGGTGAGGATTTTACCTGATGACTCTCTGCCCTGTGTTGAAATCGGTGTCCTGATGCAGTGTGAGTTGTGGTTGTTTTAATGAATATATTAATGTCTTATATGACATATTCTCTGTAGAAATGGGAACATAAATCGCTGGCCTATTTGTCTATGACCATACTCCCTTTTGATTAGATAGAGGTTTTGTAGGTAGCTCTTTCAGCTCTTTAGTTAGATGAGAAATTCTTTAAAATGAACCAGGGAAAATGTGGAAAGTATACTTTCAGAAAATTGTTGCATCCTTTATCACTTACTGAGCCAAACAAATACAGAATGACACTCAAAGGTATGTAAGGTGGGGCTGGAGGTACAGCTCAGAGATAGTGCTTGCCCGGCCTATGCAAACCCCTGGGTTCGATCCCCAGAACTGGGGGGCGGGAGGGGGGGAGCTGTAAGATTTTTGTCTGGCAACTAAAGGAAACTGTAATGCTGGCTCAGTGCTCACATTAGTCGACAGCATAACCTACAGAGCTCATTTTTGAGATTAAGCTAGATGAATGAGCACCGCAGTAGCATGGCTCTGGCCATGAAGAGCCATTCCCACTGTCTCCCCTCCGGGTGTGCAGCATTACCAGCTGCCGGAGGGGCCAGCACCTGCTCTGGGCTGTGTGAGCAGCAGGGTCCAAAAGAGCCACCACATTGTCCCCTGACTTGGGATTCTGCTTCCACACTTGCACACCTCCTGAGGGTCCCCCTTTTTAATTAATTGGACATTGCTGGTGGCGGGAACCAGATGGCAGCTGAGTGCCAGTTGCTCAGCCCTCCCCTGGCCTGCAGGCTAACCATGCACCTTGGCGTGGGCACGAGGTTGATGGCAACAGTGACAGCAGCAGCGGCTCATCTTCCTGTTCACTCAGGGCCAGCAGAGCCACAGCACACGGGGCGGGGGGGGGGGGGGGGTTGACTGAATGTCCCCAGAGCTCTGCTCTTCCCACGGTCATTGGCCGAGGGAGGAAACTGCACGCTGTGGCCTCAAGTCCTTAATACCTTGAGACGGAATAGCTTGTGAGTGGCACGGCCCTGAAAGCCCAGCAGCAGCAGCAGCAGCAGAGCTGTCAGGAAGGGTCATTGGCCAGCTGGGCACCTGCAGCTTCTGGTGGCTGCTCATCAGTGGTGACCTGCATGATAACCCTACGTCCACAGAGAGGAGACCCACAGCCAGTCATCAGCAGAAGAGGCACAGAGTCACGGCACCAGAACGTGCCCAGGTCTTAGAGTTTGAATTAAGGTTGTGTGTTTGCCTGACGGTGCTAGTCTCCCGGACTCTGCTGAGAAACTAGCAGATGTCACCACCTGGTGACAGAGCAGAGGTTGTGCAGCTCAGCTGGGTTCAGTGATGAGGTGCAGCACTGAGGCCCCCTCCAGAGCTGACCACGGTCCACACCAGGGTGTGCCTGAGAAGTGTGCCAGTGCATGCTTACACACATGCACACACGCACGTGTAAGGGAAGCCCATCTTTAGAACGCCTCCCAAAGTCCTGGCCCCAGAGACAGCATTTCGCTGGGGAGCGACCAGGTGCTACACCTTATTATGGAGTAAGGGAAAGGATCGGCCCGCTGGGGTCCTAAAGTCTGTGGCCTTCAAACCCACTGTCACCAGCACAGCACATTGAAAACCCTGCCCTTTGCCAGAGTTGCGGAAATAGTCTTAGAGACCAGGCGGCTTAGAGGACAGAAACCGTGTTCTTGAGGTTCCAGAGGCTGGTGTCCCCGGCTTTCGCTGACACTGTCCTGCGTCTCTGCTTGGTCTCCCTTTTCAAGTCTGTGTCCTCATCCCCTCTTCAGCAGGCACAGGGGTCCCACTGTCGGAGGCCACCCCATGACCACACTGGAACTGGATCCCCTCTGATGGCCCCGCCTCCAGACAAGTCACCCTGAGGCACTGAGGGTCGGGCTTCAGCACAGAAACCAGGAGGGAGACACAGTTCGGCCATAACCAGCACAAACCAGCACTTATTAACTGATCTCCACCTTGCTTCTCTAGAGGTTGTTGCTGATTTGAAAAGCAGCACAAATGAAGCCGAGGGGAGAATGGCAATCATGCTAGCAGGGGCCTTCAGCAAAGAAGTACACACAATTAGAGGGGATCTGGGGGAACCCAGAGCGTATACAGCCCTAGCCAGGAAGCGAGTGCCGCCATCTGATTCACCCAGAGACTCTGATTAGGTCCCTGTGAGTCATTGTGTTGTCCTGTCCCGTGCATGAGGGGACAGAGGTAATTATGACCGACCGTGACTCTGCAGCTTGAGAGTACCTCACTGTTGGGAGAAAAAATAGCTGCTTGTCCTGCCATCAAGTAGGACAGGCTGGAGGACACAGACAGGACTCTGCATCCTAAAAATAGCCCCATGCC